ATTAAAAACATTTTTTTTCCACCAAATTAGTAACATCATTTATGAATTTGGCAATTAAAGAGTTAAAATACAGTATTTTTCTAAGCAATTTAGTAGTTTTGATCAGGACTGAGGTTGATTAACAGATTTCCGCAAATAAAAATTGAATAAATTTTTTGATCCGATGCAGTTTTACAACAGTTTAATTTATTGGATGTTTTCATCCCGAACATAACAAAAGGGTCATCTGTCCAGAGTGTATCGTTGAGTTTTTTTTTTTTTTTTGAAAGCATTTTCTCAAAGTATGTATCAAAATGAGATTGGTGACCAAAAATCATTATGCTAGCTGAAACACAGAAAAGGTTATGCCCAAATTAAGACTCCAAATCAGCCCAGAGTGGATGAAAACATCCCCAAGAGTACATTAGGGTTAACCTAGACTGCATTTAATTCATTTTTCAACTGACCGTTCATATTTGGTTTTAATAATTTAAGAACCAGGCCTCACAAATAAAACATGTTACATTAACTTAAAGAAATGCAAGGGCCCTAAAAAGCTTTTTTGAAGTTAAAAACCTTTTTTTATCCTGCCAAACTGCTGAGTTAAACTGTTTTCTGTGCAAAAAAGTGTGCACTTTTCAGAAAAAAAAGGCCATTACAACATTTTAACTCGACAGGATATCATCAATATTAAATGATGTTACTTCAAATTTGTTGGCCTCAAGTGCTACATTATAAACAGCAGGAAATGGTGCCAAATACTGCTGAATATGTTCAGAAAGAAGTCTTAAATTGAACTTTAACTGTGAAACCTGCTCAACTTCAAACCTCTGCATCATTTTAGCATGTAAATGTACTTCATCCTTATGAAATCTTCATTATGCACCTGTGAATTCCAGGAATTTAGCACCATCACAATTTGTATGGACTCTTTGTTACATTGCAGTGTTATTAAATTGTGTTTAAAAGACGTGTGGGAGGATTACTTTTACAGTATGCCAGAGGAAGTGTTTCCTTAAATGCAATGGGAACTTACGGGAAGTGCAGATAAGCATCTGACAGACAGTCCCAAAGATGTGTGGGTGGAAAAGCTAGATCATTTTTTTATGGATAACCTTCATGCCAAAAAGGCTGAACCTAAAAAAAAAAATGACTGTCCGGACTTGTTCTGGCTGCTTAGTATGTTTGGAAAGCTCCAAGTGTACATACCACAGAAAAGTACTTTCAAATGAATAGTGTACATACTAGAAAAAAATCATCTGACAGCAGTGGTGTAAAGTAACGAATTACAATTACCCAAACTACAGTAATTGCCTAGTTTTGCTTATAAAGTACTTTGAAAAATGTGTACATTCTTAGTGATGCATCTGTACTTTTAAGTGCTATTTTCCTTCAACCTTCAGTCATTAAACGTCCTGCTGTATTTAAGTTTTTGACTCTTCTAAAGCATAAAAATACCTTAATATGTTTGATGATATTTAAGAAACATGCCAAGTGAACACTCTTGTTTATCTGAAAAACAATGCTGAAGTCAGCTATTCTGCTTTGAAAATGTGAGTTACATGCCAGAACACTGTCTTTGTTTTGGTCTTTAACCCGCCCAATGCCAGTTTAGCCAATTATATTTTAGCACCTTGATGGAAAACAACATATTTCAATTATTCAGTAAGTCATAAAGGCTCTCTAATCATGTGTCCGTGACAGAAATTCGACTTTCGGTGGACAGTAGCAGACTCCGAAATAAGTCGGTTACATTGTAACCCCGTGATCCAACAACACGCTACGTGATAAGCAATTTGGCTGTTTGCACCTGACGATACATGACAGAAATTGGAATACAGCCATTTAGAAGCACGGAATAGTGCACTCACTGCACTCCAACAAAATGGTTAGATTTTTGATCTATTTAATACATATTAAACCTCGTTATCATTAAATGTAGATGCTGAATCACTGATATGTGTTGGCTTGCACTGAGTCACAGTTTTAAAGTTTAATTTCATATGGTTTATTATATCTGAGGTGAACTATCTGCTGCTGCTTTCAGTAATATCGCAATAACTGTCACGTAAAATGACATTCAAATGCACATTATTAGAATTTAGCACATAAGGTGTACCTGAGGTGATCACTGTCAGTTTATCCTGTTGTTCAGCTTCTAAAATACACATTTCAGCCACTGGTTAGGACAAAAACTCCCCTTTAATAAGGAAATTATTTCTTCTATCGCGTGCTGTTGCTTTTATTTACAACATGACTTAGATCAGCTTTTAGACTCAAGAGTCAGGCACAATCCTGTTAATGTGGTCAATCTGGCAACCTGCGCTTGCATGTGTGTTGATCCAGGAGTGCAAAACCTAGTACAACCACCGGGTGTCCAACTAACATACTGCACCTTTAAATGATATACGTTTATTTCATCTTGTCCATGGTGATTGGCTGAGTAGAATAATCTCCCATTCTATCGAAATACACAGAGAAATCTCATGAGACAGATTGACCTCTTGCTTTATAAATGCAGCAAACAAAATAAACTTTAGTTTGAATGATTTATTTGTATCAAATTGAAGTTAAGTTGATCCCTTGTTTTTTTGTGTGTAGTAGTGAGGAATCTGATTTCAGACATGACATGAAGAGGAGAGAAGCCTGGAAAAAGCCTCATTTGACTTGATTTGCAAGAGATTCAAAGCAGCGGTTCAGAAAATGCACATATACAGTAGAAGTCAAAATTATTGGCCCTCCTGTGTATTTTGATTTTCTTTTTTAATTATTTCCCAAATTATGTTTAACAGAGCATTTTCCACAGTATTTCCAATAATATTTTTTCTTCCAGAAAAAGTCTTTTATTTTGGCTAAAAGTTTAGAATTTTTTGAAAACAGTTTTAAGGTCAATATTATTAGCCCCCTTAAGCAATATTTTTTTGCAATTGTCTACAGAACAAACCATCGTTATACAATAACTTACCTAATTAACCTAGTTAAGACTTTAAATGTCCCTGTAAGCTGAATACTAGCGTCTGGAAAAATATCTAGTAAAATATTCAGGCATGTGATCAGCCGAGGACAAAAAACAAAGAAGACGAGCCACTAACTATGTTAGTTTTTTGTGTCCACAGAATAAAACTTTCCCTGTAATTTAGTCGGCTCTTTATTTCAAAGTGATGAATAAACTAGTCAGTCAACAACCTGAACTGTAAAAATATTAAGTCCAGTTGAATTTATAAGGCCTTATATACTTTAAAGGTTCACGAAACCCTCGAGTACTTTTGTAACAGATTTTGATGTTAACAGATGTTAACAGATTTGTGTGTATTGAGCATCAGTTAGGACAAAGTTAGAAGCTGTCAGCTTTAATTGTGGGAAAAACTGGATAATTTTGAGCTTTTGTCAGCTAATTTCAGCTTCCGGGTTTAAAATGATTTTTCAGACGGATCAAAATCGGATCAAAATGACGCGTCAGTTTCTCATTATTATTCATAGCGGAGATTTCTTATCCTATGAGAAGAGCCGGCTTCTTAATTATTCATGACTGCACCTGCTTTCTGAAGGCGAGACACAGACCTGCCAAGCTGTGACACCCAATGTTGATGACTGGGTGAGACCGTGTACACGGACCCACGGCACACAGTATTTAGCTGTTCATGAACTGTCGATTGTGTTTTCATGATCCACGGGGTTCGTTGCATGTTTTTCCCCGTGATGCTGTCAGGACCGATACAGCAAAGCTGTTTGAGTGCAGCAAGTGTTTTTGTCGGAAGAGCAGTACGAGAATTGGAGAATGGTGGACTTTGTCCTTTATCAGTGGGGTTCGTTCACGTTTAGACACATCGCCGTGCTGCTGTGTTTGCCTAAATCCTCCAGATTACCAACAGGGCTAATGGTTAAAATAGACAGAGCAAGAGACCTGCTGCACTGAGTCTGCATTCAGACCCGGGAATTGAGGGAGAAGTCCTCATTTATAGTGTTTATATGAACACGATTATCTTTATAATAATATAAATTGTGGTTATCTGTATATGAAATTACAAATAACAAATGTAGCAGGACATTAAATTACTGTTTATTTCTTTGCACTTTAACTTTGCAAACTATAAAATCATGCGTCTCCTTATGGTTTGTGTCTCATTTTGTAAGCCGACTGACAACAGTTGTTTACCCCTCCTTCTCCCTTGCTGGCCACGCCCACTTCTGCCTCTGCTCGCAGAGCTCCACGCCCATTATCATGCATTTTTTTTTTTAATTCTGAGGTAGATCTGAACTGAAAGTGGGGGGTGTCATCATGACCCTTTAACATTCCACCCTGACAAAAATCATACATCGCTAATAAAAGTTTATCACTTTCACTTTCCTTCGGCTTAGTCAATTTTTTAATAGTTTTAATTAATTATAAAATATTTTTTGATTAATTTGTAATAGCATCTAAACTTGTGACACTTTCAGGAATCAAATATGAGGTGCTAGGCTGTAGCACTGAATTAATGAAAACATAAGGACAGATGACTTGCAGAGAATAATAACAAATGTGCATCCTGCAGCTGTATTTATAATGTACACACTCGTGACATGCAAATGTGAGTGCGGAAAAAGTGCACAGCCGCACACACACTCAAAGTGATTTCATAACCTTGCATATAGTCAGTGGCTTTGTCACATTATAGCACTACAAGTATAATTTGGTTATATACACAATAGCTGAGGTAGGTCTACAAATACATCCTTGAAAGACGTCAGGAAGGAAGCAGGTTGTCTGCTTTGAGGATGATGGATATCACATCCCTGAATATTATGTAATGTCATGATGGAAAAGATAAAAGTAATCAGTTATTAGAAATGAGTTATTAAAACTATTATGTTTAGAAATGTGTTTAGAAAATCTTCTCTCTGTTAAACAGAAATTGGGGGATAAAATATACAGGGGGGCTAATAATTCTACTGTACATACACACCATAGCATCCGTGTAAAACACATTAATATTCTGTCCTGTATAAAATCCCACTAAGCAAATAATAAACAATAATACTCACTATTAACATATTTATTATCATACACCATTTAAAAGCTAGAATTTGTTGTTAAATATATACATGATCCACACTAAGTTGAACACTGATGCGTTACTGCTTTACCCATCTGTAGCTCAGCAAACATGCATGAAGAAGATGGTAAAGAAGTCTCTGTTACGACGAGGCTTCTCTAGTGTTGTGAGCTTCATATGGCTGTTTTTTTACTTGGTTTGTCAACGCAATACTGTTTCCTCCTGAAAAACCTGTTCTCCAGCTGTGCTTGGGCTCCTTCAGGCTGTGGTTGGCTTCATCACGGCGGATTCTCCAAACACTTGCTTAAAGTAGCTGACGTGCTCCTCACAGTGCTCACCTGCAACAAGAAGATGATGTCACAGAAGGTCCACTCACGTATCCACCACTTTTAACATTGCAAAATTGTGTTATTTTATATTCGGTTAAAAAAAATGAAGCATTTATAATGCGCTTTACTACATTGGCATTAAATATGTTCAGAAAACTATTCACATTTGCCATCTTTTTCCTTTTTTGAACATCACAATTAGTTGCTTGATGTTTTTGCTTCTCTTGGAAAGACCAAAAAAATGTTTGCTATTAGTATTGGTACAAGCGGTAATCCTAAATTTTCCAGAAAATAGATGCACCAGATATTAATAATCACATTTTATAAAATTTCATCCAGAAACAATTTAAAACAATCTATCTGTAGCCATACAAATGATGTACTACACAAATAAACACTATGGGTGTGCGATATTTACCCAAAAGAAATCAAAATGTTTTCCAAGATTTTTAAAATAACAGAAATTATGGTTTTGCTGAGTGTGTTGGACAAACATTAGTCAAACATTAGTCATCAGCTATGTTTCCATCCACCTATTTTCATGCGCATTTTGGATATGCACATAAAAAACGATTGACGGAAACGGCATGATGCGCATCAATTTAAAAAATGAGCATAAAAACGTATGTGCATAACTGCGTAGGATAAACATTTTTTTATTCGATAAGAAAAAAAAAGCACATAAACTACAATGGAAACACTTTTACCGAACAAATTCCAGTATGCACAGTAAAAAAGGTCATGGGATTTTGTTATAAGAGATCATGTGATGAACAAGCACGCTGAGCCCATTGTAAAACATCTGAAATGCCCTACTAAAATGGCTTAACCACTTCAGTAGTGGTGTTATTACATTATTAATTACCTACAGGATATATCTTATGCCTTCAAACGCATTCATTGCCTGTCAGCATTTGTCTTCTGAAGTGAAAGTCAATTAATGAAAAAAAAAAAAAAGCTTCACGCAGCTTCTCCTAAATTCCGTTTACACTGTTGATATTTAGCGCCAGTTAATCAGAAAGTGACGATTTTGTTCTCTTTGACTCGGTGGATGGAAACGCTGCTTTATTCGCACGTCTTTTATGCGATATTCCAGTTTTGTGCATAAATTTAATTCGCATTTTTGGATGGAAACATAGCTAGTGGCAACAAGTCCCTATCTTCAAGATAGATTCATTGAATCTTAATTTTTTCAAATGATTCATTCAAAGCAGCTGATTCATTCAGAAATAAAGCAAGCGACTGACTTTATAAATGGATCATAAATCATTATATACGCCATATAAATCATTGACAACTCATTCAAAAACAGATTCTATACTATACTTTAATTGATTCAATGATTTAGTTTCTCTTTCATTTGGCAACTATCTGCACACATTTTTCGCTTGCACACATGTCACATCACATTTTAGATGATAAAATAATGGTTTTATATAACAGGAAATACAGTTTATATTCAGAGAATCCCAGGAATGTGAAAAGTGTCTATTACACACATGAATCCTCCATCAAAACCACCCACCTGGGTTGAAACCAGGATTACCACGCAACCGCATGTTCCTCGTCTCGAAGAAGCGGAAGATGGTGTAGAACAACATGGTGTCATTAGTTTGTCGTGCCGCGTCCAGAAACTTTCGCGCAGATGCGTTATCATGGCCACCGACGCTACGAATGAAACGCAGAGCACCCAAAACCTGCTGCTTGGACAGAAGAACCTCCACGATCTCATCATTAGCGGTGGAAAGCCTCTAGAAAACACACAAATAAACACACGTTAAACACTTGGTACCTTAAGAGGGTCCTGTTTTGGTTTTTGCATTTCAGTTTTCTTTAATGTATAATGTTGCTTCAACAAGTTTACTGTAGCAGGAGCTATTGATAACATCAACATTAGCTACAGTGGGGTAATAAGTATTAAACACGTCACCACTTTTCTCAGAAAACATATTTCTAAAGGGGCTGTTGACTTGAAATTTTCACCAGATGTTGGTATCAACAAAAGAAATCCATATATGAAAGGAAAACAAAACTAATTAGTTTACAAATGAAGTTATGCATGATAAAATGAAATGATACAGGGAAAATGTATTGAACACATGAAGAAAGGGAGGTTTAGAAAGGCAGTGAAGGTCCAGACAGCAGCTGAAATCTCTCAGTAGTTCTTCAGCAACCCTCTGCTTTTCAATATTGTAAATAAATATTTGCTGCTTCAGTCCAACATCTACATTAGCAGGATGATGAGGATCAAACCAGAGTGGAGTGGAAGACCAGGATCCAAAACACAGCTAAGGCAACTTTCATATTATTAAGAATAGAAACACTTTAAATTATTTTAGGCCCGTAGCCAGGTGGGGTCCTCACTGAAAAAGGTCCAGAATTGTTCCAACATGAGCTTATTTGTTCTTATGTGTGATTTTCACTGCTATGCCATCATAAATATTGAAATAACCCATCCAAATAGGCTTTAAGACCAAGCAGAATCCTCTGTCTATTCAGCTAATCAAAGGTTTTGGCCAATGCAATTATTTTTCATGTGTTCAAAATCCTGTGCAAGAAAACACACAATTTGACGTAAGTGAAGTCTTCTTTCACTACTGTATTGTTTTTAAATGGAGAAAACATTTACAAGTAACATTTTTTCTACATCTTGGACCTTATTCTTGAAACAAAATGACTAATAAAAAGGTGTGAAGCACCAAAAGCGGCCCAAATTTAAGTGTATTTGAATACTAGTTTGGCTAATGTGATCTATAAATTTTTAAGTGTACTAGAGAGACAAAAAAGTGGTGAAAATAATGCTTAAAATGTCACTAAAATGCAGCATTTTAATCTCACAATTGAAAAAAATGAGACTAATAACTGCAAAAAGGTCCACTTTCTGAGAAAAAAGAACCACCGCTTTCACTAGGCTGGCTACATGTCTGTATATACACTTCTCTGCATTGGTTTTTCGTACCTTGAGCATGTCCAGAGAAAGCTGGTAAGCAGGTGGATACGTGCTTTCCAGAGAAAGCAGCAGACAGGCCTTGAAACACAGAAAAAGTCCAATATTTCAAAAGTATGTGATCGTTTCAAATAAAAACTTTATAGGCTTCCAAACTAGAGGTGCACATCACGCTCATGGGGTTTTGAAGAAGCTCACCAGCGGTTTAGAGTCAGTCAGGACGTGATACTGAAGAAACTGGTGCAGCATGTAGAAAAGGTTGTGCTGGACCAGAGTTTTGATGACCAGCTCATACAAATAGTGCTGGAAAAAGAAAATTAAGATGTATTATATACATGTATAAGATGTATATGTATATGATGTATATCGCTGTATTATAGACACGATATATTTGTTGTGCAATACTAACTAATGCAAATGTTAAATTATTTCCAATTGGGCAAAATCACAGGCAGATTTTCAGAGTTTAACAAATTCAAGGTGACATAAATTTTACAAAACGATCATAAATAAATGTAATTATTCTAAGTCCCATTACACTCTATTTGTCTGAATTACAAATATAATGATTTGAGCAGGTATATAGCTGTTTTAGATATGTATTTTTGCAATTTTAATATAAAAGTGTTTTTTAATTTGATTTATTTTTAGAGTTTTGATTTCTGTAAAATCAAGGCCAGTGTTATTGCGTTCATACCTGAACCGGGATCTGAAACTGGTTCAGTGAGCGAATGTACTCCATTACAACTGCAATGATAAACTTATGCTTCACCTCCTGCAGAAAAAAAATAAATAAATAATTTACAGCATTAAAACAAGAAATAACATTGGAATGTACCGATATGTCATTTTTTTTACCAATAACGATAATTAGTGGTCGAAATACATCGTTTTTTTTTAAAGGCTAATGCCGATATCTTGGAAAGGGATGATGGACGATTTTAGCTGATACAGTTAATTTTAAAATCATTAGTTAAATTAAAATTTAACTAAAATATAAATATTTGAAAATGGATAAACAAAAAAATAAGTGTATAAAATAAACATACCTGATATAATATTCTTTATATTAAAAAGAGATTCTTTCAATTTCAAGTTCTTTTCAAATATA